TTTCACGCATCATGTCTCTACTGACTTCAGGATCCCAATCCCATGTTGCAAAAAAACGACCAGATGGCTCACTGGAAACAATCAATAACACAGCGTCTGGCACATACTTTTGAGTTCTATTCTGTGTACTCAACTGACCTGCATTAAGGCGCAGTGTATCATTAGCACCCAACACTTTGCTTTCTCATTCTGAAACTCTCTCTCTCTCTCCTTCTCTCTGCCTCCTTTCCTCACCACCCCTCTCCTTCTCTACCCCCACCTTTGGTTTCCAAAAATTCATTTTTCATGTAACTTTGGGCATCTAGCTGTTCTGAAAGAGAGTATCTTTAGGAAGGAATTAGAAAGTAAATGGTTAATCTACCAGAAGCACAGTCCAGGAGGGTGCTAAGTGTCATATGAAGGACTGGAATCAGGGGAGTCCATCTGAGTCATTTTTCAATCATGAATTAATTTCCCAAATATTTACATTTCATGGGACATGTTACCTAGTATTGTGTTTATTTATTTGATTACATTATTACAAGTCAAATTTGGATAAAAGTGATTTCCTTGGGAGTTTGCATAGTTCTCTAGATAGCACAGGTTTTGCCAATGAGGTAAGTATGTAAGATTTCCAATCATGACTTTCTTTGTCCTAAAGTACTTAGTGTTAAGTATAGAAACCTTCAAAAATCTAAAAAAAATGTAAAAGTAAATACATATCTGTTATAATCTACCATACCATAATCTAGTGCATAATCTTTCTGTGATTTGTCATTTCTACATGAAGTGAATTCATGAATACATATGTGTGGTGTGTATCAGATTTATATAATGAATGTGTATATGTGGAATGTCACTCTTTAAAAAATATGTTGAGTCTTTCTGTAGTTCCCTTTATGAAACAAATGACTGTCCTAGAAATTTTTTTTCCATCCTTTGGCTATTTTTTTTCTTTCCTACAAGCGTTACCAAGAAAACACATCCACAGGCAAAAAGTAATTTTAACAGAAGTTACTGGCAATGCATCATTCACTCATCAAAACCAAAAATAACAATATAAAAACAAAAAAAAAAACCTTCTTGCTACATTTCTGTTATCAAATTTAAGTCACCGTGAGATCTCAGTGTAACTATTCTTGGTACTTGGTAAATGATTTCTACCATAGCCAGCCTATCATTTCTATACCTGTCAATACATCCAGTGAGGCCCCTTCAAGGAGACTGACCTGTGTACTTAGTCTTCTCATGGTCTTTCCTGCTGTCAGCAATAGTTCATCCTGGGTGAGAGGAGTGAGGTGGAGCTGGTGGAGATGTGCTCACAGCTTCCTGGCTCTTCTGTTGAGGGTGAGGAGTAAGAGGAGAAGAAGGGGTATAAACTTTTATTTTAAGTTTATATTTCCTGTAGGATGGTAACAAATGTTATTTACTACCCAAAGGCAAAATTAAATTTAAAGTAAAATGCTACCTATGTATATATACAGTAAAAGTAAGCAAGAAACACACACATCTTAGAACACAGTTTTTAATATAACAAAACTGTTATCATGGCAACAATATTAAATTAACTATACCACAATCCCTAATATAACATCAAACTCTAATAGGAAAGTACACAGAGGACAGAAAAATTTCATCTAGTCAGTGGTTTAGGTGTTCCTCATACTGACGTATCTGCTAAGATAATTTTTCCCAAGGATGAAGAGTTAATACATGTAATATTTCATTTCAGTTAGCCAGGAATACACCCTACACCAATTTTCCCCCTTAAGACCTTTACTGCATATGTATAGAAATAGAGTACATTTGGATAATATCTAGTCTATGACATATGAGCCTTCTATAGTAAAATTAGAGAATTCTAATCACACTAAGATGAATTGAAAGCAAAGGGAAGAGGAGTCATTGATAAAACTGGTAGTAATTACATGTAAACTGGCACTCACATATAAAGTAACCTTGTGTTTGAAAAGATTGTTGTACTTAAACTGAGTAAAACAATTGATATGCCATGTTTAGGAGTTAAAATAGGAACAGTTGACTAGTTGCGTTTATAGTGAAAATGTCTTAAGTAAACCTTTCTTTAAAAGTATTTGCTACATTCAGACTAACAAAATATGTGCACTGTGTGTATAAGTACGCACAAGAAATACCCCTAATTTTGCAATTGCTTGCCCCAGCCTTCAAGGTAATAGCTTCCTGATTCTAATTAATTTGACTTCTGATTATTCTGTTTAGCATCAATTAAGGCATTGAACAAATATAAACTTTATCATAAAATCCCTACTACAGATGCAATAACCATGATAAGAGTTCAGTTCTTTTATGGAAACTATTAAGGTATAAATGAGTAAAAATTAGTGATGCTGATTATAAAGAAACAGTGACATTTTTAACACAAGGTTAGGAAAAAATGTGAAATTAAGAGCAAAAGAGCAAAGCAAATGTGTATTTATGATCCAGATATCTTTCCAATGTTACTTCACAGTAAAAATGACCACTATAAAATATTTGGTTCTATAGTTTTTCTTTCTTATGATATTCCCTTCAAGTGAAATTTTTAAAAATAAGAATGATAGAACAGGCACACAGGCACATATGCAGAAAACATTTAACTATTCTTATAATAAAGAAAGCAAACATTTGGCATTTATTTGAATGTTATGGTAAATCAGAAAAAACAGTAGAACCCTAATGTCAGTAAATGACTTCTAGAAATAATTTCCTTCTTGTGTAGGTATCATAACTATAAGTATACAAAATAAAAATCATTCATAATTCTTAGTTGCATTCTGAGTAAGGCAGTAACAGCATTTTCCCACAAGCCATTCAAATCAGGACATTTTTCCTTCTCCTAATACTGGGGTACTTTAATTTTTTCTTTTCTTTGTAGGACTGTTAATAAGACTATCTGTCTACAGTATTTTGCATCATACCCTTTCACTGTTAAATAAGGACCATCACCAAAACATCCTAAGCCTATCTCAAATTCATTATTGTTAGTTCTTGTAACATTTTAGCATAACTATTATAGTCTATTTTGCTTTTTTTTTCTTTTGTGATGTTCTTGTAATTTGGTATTCATATTTAGATCTATATGGGATCATTGCAAGAGTTTGCCTATTGATAAATAAAAAATGTTATTTTTAATATCCTACATTACAAGTTTCTTTTCAGTTTCATATTATGTCATCATTTCAATGATAAGGCAGGCACATTCAGACCATCATTTCCAAAATTGCTAATTGTCTAATATTTGAAATGAACAGTTTTTATAAAATCCATAATTTCATATTTGTCAGTAATCATTTATATAATTTGGAAATGAATAAAAACTCTTTAAAATATGTAAGCTTATACAATCATTAACTTGATATTAAAATAGTTTCTTTATTCTGAAAGGGTTTATTATTTCTAAAATCAAAATAGTTATACTGCCCACTATTTTTCTTCTAAGTGTATCATGTGTTTTTTATATTACTGCTTCCTGAAATGTGAACTTTGGTATAGTACAACTACATCTTTTTGTTGTCAAAAGGAACATATCATTGGAAATACAAACAGAAATAAACTCTTGGTAATCCAGTTTCACCAAAATCCTGTGAACCCAATAGATAGGAATATAGATATAATCCCATTGTAATTTAAAGTGATTTTGTAATGTTTTTCTTAGGACATTCCAGATAAAGAATAACAGTGAGATCTATATTTCAGTAGTTTCCAAGGTAATTGTTTTTTATAAATAGGTTATAGGTCTATTACCTATCAATGTTCAATCATTGTGTGACTCTTTTGCTAAATAATTTTCAAAAATTATTATTTGTACCAAAAATAACCTCAGCTATGTAGATGAAACATTTTGTTCCTTTACTTTAAGATTTTATTTTTAAGTAATCTCTACACCTAATGTGGGGCTCAAACCCACAACCTCGAAATCAAGAGTCACACATTCTACCAACTGTGCCAGCTAGGCACCCCTGATGAAATATTTTCTTAAATAAAACATCTCTACAATATTTTCCCACCTTTATCACATCAAGTCTGTTCTATACCAAATATGTTCTACATCAGCATTTTAATACAGAATATTCTTTTATATTTCATGATTCATTTGTGCCATGCATTTTATAACCCCCAACTTGTAAACATGTAGTTGTTTTTGAATGGGAAGGAGAAAATTACTTCTACTTCATATTTATGATATTATATATTTCTCAAAAATTATTTTTCATCTCTGTCAAAAATAGAATTTATAGGCATGTCTTAAATCTATGATACTGAAAACCCACATTAGAGGAAAATATTTTTACAGTTTGATATTTAAGTATTTTTAAATCATTTTTATATAATATTTTACTTAAAATCATATTAACTGTGGAATGTTCTTATGCATTATTGTCAGGTTACACATTTATTTGTTCTGTGGGTGAGGAATTAATTTATGAAGAGGAATAATAGTCTTCACCTACATTTCATGTATAAAATTTTATAAAATTTCAGTATGACACAAAACTCTCAGCAGTCTATATTTAAAAAGTAAAGATCACTCAGCTTTTATGTGTGATGAACAAATTTGATTTAATATGCTCATAGTTTTAAAACCAGTATGATTATTTGTTAAAATTTAAATGGTATGCATTAATGAATAACAGTTTTTTTCTTAACCTGAGAATATAAATGTGAAAAACAAAGCAAGGGAAAATGTCTTCCCACATTTTGCTTTCGTCTTTCATAACTATTTAGGCTTAAAACATTTAGATTTTTTTTAAAAATGAGATTCTTTTATATATTTATCAATTTGAAATTACCAAATAATGTTTTAAGAGCTGATGTGCATGTCTAGATCGTATTTTAGGGGTAAATCTTGTATTTTGTAGCAAAAAAATCCTGCCTGGGTGTTTATAGTTCAGTAACTTCTAAATTGCTGCCACAATGATCTTATTACCTATGTATTTTCTCTTTGTTTTTCTTTCCTTCTTTCTTTTTTTCTTTCTCTCTTTCTTTCTCTTTTTCTTTTTTAGAGGCTGGAGTTAATCTGAAGAGCACTACTTCTTTCTCTCCTGAGAAAAGTTGCCACTGATATTTTTACTGGATAAAATTTAAAAATGTTTCAATTCACAAAGGCTAATTGTTGAACTGGTGTCCTAGAAGAAATTGTTCACAGGAGCCGAAGCAGAAGTCTCGGACGGTGGCGGAGCTGGCTCTATCAGACCATGGTTCATCCTCTTTTAAAGCCAAATTTTTTTTTCTTCTGGCCTACAAGTATTTTTTTTTAAAGAAGGAAAGAAAAAAGCCTACATTGGCATCAAGTTCTGTATCAATCCATGTTACATTGCCATCCATGATTTAAGACTGTAGAATCTTGAATAATCTATATCACTTTAACAAATAAATGTTTTACTATGACAGCATTTGTACAGTGCCTGATTTGTGAAAATATCAATTGCTTCAGGTATGAATGGTGAAATGATGACTGTAAGGATTAATAATACTATTTTACATTTATGTAATGTAAAACCATAAGGAATCACAATCGCTTTATAATACTGGAACTATTTCTGCCATGACTGAAATGCACCTACTTCCGTGGGAGAGCTGTACAGCTGTTTATAAGCTTTACAGCAGTTTTGTGCGTCAGTGTCAGACAAAGTGATGAGGGACCTCTTCTCCTAGTGGACCTTCAGAAAGCACCAAGGTAGGCATATACGGTAATTCATCCAAATTGATTCATTGCTTTTCTGGAGAGCCAGGGCAAAGAGGTTTAATAATTTGGGGCCTTATAGTTCATGGTAAGTGCCCATTTCTCCAATTTTGCACAATTGCAAATAAACTAAATAAAGAAGTAAAGTAAATAAAAGGTAAATAAAGAAGACCAGACATCTGATTTAACACCAGCATAAATAAGAGGAAGTCATTTCGGTAGCCAGTATATGTTAATGCTATCCTTTTAAGCAGTAACCAAGCCTAGCATTTAAAGGCTGCCCTTGGTATCAAGCAGGCCTGAGTTCAAACTCTGGAGCTGAGCAAATTTGGCCAATCGCCGACCCTTCCCTTTTATCACAGGAGAAATAAAATTTGAAAATGTATGTAAACTTATCACTGTATTTGTGTAAGTGATAAGTTCAATTAAAAAATAGTATTAGCATTGCCATTAGCAAATGAATTCAGATTCTCTAAAATATTAGGGATTTTATTTCTGTTCCTTTACAATTTTGTTAGTTACCAATCATTAAAAGCAATATGTAGTTTAATTTTTTAAAAAGCCAGAAAACTGTCTTTTAAGAAATTTAGCTTATCTCTTAGGCTATTTGAAGATCCAACCATCCAAAGAGAGGTTGCAGATTATTAGCCTTTAGATGGCACTTGAAATCTGCTCAGAGCCTAACTACACTAAACAACAATTAAAAGAGATGCAAACATACACTCACTCCAACACACCCAATGCGTGCCTGAAGCAGAAGCACCAAGTTGGAATGTAGTTAATTTGTGACTCTGGGCAAATGGTTCGTTCTCTCTGTTTCCTGGCAACTATAATTCCCTGGTGCAATCCTGTTTATGTGTGTGTACATGTATACATGCATAGATAAATGGTTATGATGACAAAAAAGACACAAAATGAACAATATGCATCTGCAAATCTGTTCCTGTTACATACAACTTTTGTCCTCTAATAGAAAGCTTCAGGAATACAAATGGCTTTCCTGGATCTCAGTGCAGAGTTTAACTTTTCAAGATCTCTCTCAGGAAAACCTGCTAACTTTTCTTTAAGAACATTCTCCTGTTTATCTTTACATTTCTCCTGCTGTCTTGGGGCTGATTCTTTCCTATTCTGACGCTCTTCTTGATAATAACATAGCCTGACCTCTTCGCTTCTTTAGGACATTCCCACTCTTGTGTTTCAAGGAACATGATTTTTAGTGTGTTAGAACTAAAATTATACTTAATCATTTTAAGTCTTCACCTTGGGTCCCCTACACCTAAATCTAAAACTTCTATTCATGCAAATATTCAAACAAGATTAATCAGGCACTGATTAAAATACTGTACATATTTTCACTTTTTGAAATGTTGTTTGTAAGGAAGACTGAGGCCCAGTGTCTGATTCTGTGAGTGTGCAATACTCAGTTGTTTATGAGCAGATATTTACTTCTTATACAGAGAGATTCAGAGAACACATGTGCACACCCTTAACTAAACAGGAATAATGGTCACAAATTAAAATTTTGCAAAAGTGCAATGAAATACTATTTTGAGGACAAGTAGGAATGATTTCTTTAGCTGAGTTTATAATGTCACAGGGGTAATTTAATGGATGATAAAATGTCTCAACTGTAAAGTTTTTGATTATGGATTGGAAACCACTTCTATTTTCCTGTTATTCTACATTCCTAGTACTGGAAGTAACTCAGTGCCTAGAAATATCTATTGTAATAATATGAATACTTAAAGTTCAACTTATGAAATGTATTATACATAATATAAACCACATCAAACATACAAGAAAATCGAACAGAGAATTTTGAATGCAGCATTGGTAGAGTTTATAAGACATGGAAATGATCTGAAAATCATAGTTTATATTTTGAAATTCTACAGTCATGATTTTTGAAATCCATGATGTGTAGAACCAAAGTTTACTAATAAAGCACTATTGTTGGTGTTGGAAGGAAAACTCAGATAATTTTAATTTTCCACTTTGTGATTTAGCAGGTTTAAACTTAGTTTTACAACTTTTTGTTATCTATTCAACTATGTAAAACCCCATTTAATATATATATAGAATGTTTTGTGACAGATTCTTGGTTTGTTTTGTCCAAAATATATTCAGATTATTTCTACTTTTACATAAGTTAAGAATTTATTCCTTATTTTTGTTTCCAAACTGTATTTATACTGATATCCCATAGATCTACTTAGCAAATGGTATGTGTGAGTGTGTGTGTATATGTATGTATTGATTAAGGCATATGCAATTATTTAAAAATGCAAGTGATACAGAATATATTACATACAACCAAAGTAAAAGTCCCTAGCTCATGATTGCTTTATTTGATATACACATATAATATATGAGAAAACTACATTAGATTTTTTTATAAAAGCCTATTTTTATTGTGGAAAATATATGTGACATAAAATTCGACAGTTTAACCACTTTCAGTGTATGACTAAAGGGCATTAACTACATTGTGCAATCATTAACTAATTGTGTAATCATCACCACTATTTTTATCACCCTATACACAGAATCTGTAGCCATTAAGCAATAATACCCATTCTCCTTCTTTCAGTCTCTGGTAAACTCTAATCAACTTTCTCTATGAATTTGCCTACTCTAGATATTTTATGCCACTGGGATCATCAACTGTCCTTTTGATCTGGCTTATTCCATTTACCGTAATGTTTCCAAGTTTCATCCATGTTGAAGCATATATCAGAACTTTTTATAGCTGAATAATATTCCAGGAATATATGTAGCACATTTTGTTTATCCATTCATCTTTTGATGGACACTGTGTTGTTTCCATTTTGTGGGTACTGTGAATAATGCTACAATGAACATTGGTGTTCAACTATATACTTTAGGTTTTTCAGTTTTCAATTATTTTAATTGAATTGCTGGGTCATAAAATAATTTTATGTTGAATCTTTTGAAGAATTCCACTGTGACTACACCATTTTACATTTATTCTGGTAATGTTTAAGTGTTCCTATTTCCCCTCATTTATAATTTTCAGTTTTTTTAAAAGTCTTCCTAGTAGATGTGGATTATCTCATTGTGATTTTGACTTGCATTTCCCTAATCAATAATTATGTTGAGCTTTTTTTTATGTGCTTATCATCCATTTGCATATCTTTTTTGGAGAAATGCCAAATCAAGTTATTTGCCCATTTTTAATCTGGATTGCCTGTTACTATTGAGTTGAAGGCATTCTTAATATCTTCTGGATTTTAAACCCATCTCAGATATATTATGTGCAACTACTGTCTTCTATTCTGTGGGTCTTTAATTTTCTTGGTATTATATCCTTTGATGAACAAAAACATTTAATTTTTATGAAGTCCTTTTATGTACTTTTATTTTGTGTTTGTGTTTTTTGATGTTGTATCTAAGAATTCTTTGCCTAATCCAAGGTCATCAAAATTTATCTCTATGTATTTCACTACGAGTTTTATGGTTTTAGCTCTTATATTTAGGTTATTGATCCAGTTTGAGTAAGTTTTTGTATATGTTTTGAGGGAAAGCTCCGACTTTATTCTGTTGGCTGTGGAAATCCAATTGTCCCAGCAACATCTGTCCCAGAAAAAGTATTTTTTTGCCCTATTGAATGGATTTTTCAGGCTGGTCAAAAATCAGTTGACCACAGATGTATTTATTTCTAGACTCTGCATTCTATCCCATTGGTTTATATGTTTGTTTTTATGTCAGTACCCAAAATGTTTTGATCACTGTAGCTTTGTAGGTTTTGAAACCAGAAGTATGCGTTCTCCAGATTTGCTCTTTTTTAAAATGGTTTGGCTATTCTGGGCTACTTGCAGTCCAAATGAATTGTAAGATTGGCCTTTCCATTTCTGCAAAACAGCAGTTGGAATTTTGATAGAACTTACAGCCTGTAGATCGATTCGGTAGTACTGACATCATAACATTATTAAATCTCCCAATCCATGAACATGGGTGTCTTTCCATTTACCTGTGGCTTTTTTAATTTCTCTCAACAATGTTTTATAGTGTACAGGGCAAAAGTCTTCCATTTCCTTAAATAAATATATTCCTAGGTATTTTTCTTTTCATGTTCTTATAAATTGAATTGCTTTCTTACTTTTCTTTGTGGATTCTTCATTGCATATATTAAAAAAATAACTAATTTCTGGGTGTTCATCTTGTACCCTTAAACTTGGTTGAATTTGTTTATTAACTCTAGTAGCTTTCTTATGAATTCTTTGTGATGTCCATATATAGAATCATAACATATATGGAGATAGTTTACTTCTTCCTTTCCTATTTTAGTTTCTTTTGCTTTGCTTTTGTTCTTTTCTTTTCTGTCTAATTGCTCTTGCTACAAATCAGTACAAAATTGAAAGGCACTGGTGAAAATAGGCATCCTTGTCTTATTTTTTATTTTAAAGGAAAGCTTTAAATTTTTCAAGATGAGTATGATGTAGACTGTGGGTTTTTAAAACTGGGCTTTATTGTGTCGAGGAAGTTCTCTTCTGTTCCTAGTTTCCTGGTGTTTTTATCAAGAAAGGGTGTTAAATTTTTTTCAAATGATTTTTGGTGTCAGTGTCGTGTTTTGTTTTATTAACTTCATCCTACTAATGTGGTATATTACATTGGTTTTCTTATCTTTAATTCTTAGCATTTGTAGGATAAATTTCACATGGTCATGATATATAAACCTTTTAAT